GTCAGGAGTCGAAGTCTGGATCTGGGGTGTCATAGCTGTCAGGTCTGAGCCGTCAGAGTCTGATGACCCAAGTGTGATGTGTCAGGGACTGGTCACACTAGAGTAGGTGGCCCAGTGTTCTGCGAATAGGAGTAGGTCTCTCTCCTATCCCTCTTGTTAGGCAGGCTGGGTATCGTCATTAAGAACCAAGGATCGATGTGGGAAGGGCTATGAGCCACGTCAGGCAGCATAAGGATTATATTGAGCATCTGCAGGGCCTGTCAAGCCCGAAAGAAAGAACAGGGTATACGAAGTATCTCTGCCTCGTTGGATAAGTGAACCAATTGCATCTGACCTTCTGCGCTATACTCCATATCTGCACCCAGCAACCAGCCAAGTTAGTACCAACAAAAAAAAAAAAAGAGAAAGCAAGACAACAGAAACACATTACCAAAAGTTCGATCCAGGAGGCCAGATAGCACATCAAAAAAAAAAAGAAGGACATATTCAAAGTTCATTGCAGGTTGAGCTATTGTTGATAGTACGCAGCACCTTCTACAGTCGAAAAGGGAAAGAGGCAGTATAGTACTCCATTACCGCAAGTCAAAACTAAGTCTGTAAGTGGGATAGTATCTTGGTGATCCGGCGGAGGGTCTCCTGTGCCGGCAGTCGTCATGGATGACTATCCCATTCAGGGCCTGTTGGCCCTCTCTGTCTTGTGGGGCCCACTGTTCAGGTTCATATTCCCACTGGAGTTCGGACGCGTGTGTACGTCCCGCATGATGATGCGATCAGGAGCAGTGAAGCCAGGGCCCACACCTGCTGAGCAGGCAGAGATTGACCGCCGGCAGGCAGAAAAGAAGAAAGAAAGAGAAGAAAGAAAGAAGAAGAAAGAAAAAGAGTTRAAGAAAAAAGCCYAGTTAGAAGAAGAGGAGATGAAGAGGAAGTTAAAGGAAAAGTGGGAACARGAAATAAAGGATGARTTGCAGACTATTGAGGAAGAAGAAGAAGCCTMKGARGAAGGGGGAGARAGACTTATCAGGCGRCGTGCAGAAAGTGGCRAGACAAGTGAGGTCCGGGGAGAAGTATTTGTCAAGCCATTGGACTGGTATGACCAGTATTCGTATTCCAGTGACAAGTTAGAAGAGACAGAAGAAGAACGAGACACATTCATAGCAAGGCTAGCACTAGTAACAAATCAAAAGGAGAGAGAACTGATGCTGGAAGAAAAACGCACTGAACTACATAGCAAGATGCTAGCAACAAAGCGCAAAGAGCTTGATGATAGAAAGAAGTTGCAAGCAGAGGGGGCGAGGTTACATAGCGAGCTACAGGCACAAAGGGAAAAGCAAGCGGCTACTGAAGAAAAACTCGCCCTCCTAACTGAAACAGTTCTCCATACGAAACAGGAAGTTGCTGCAATCAATAGGACCTTGCRGAAAGTTGAAACGAATCAACTGGAATTTGAAAATGTGTGGAACACTTTTTTGCAGAAGTCCGCCAAGGACGTAGATCTGCACATTCAGTCCTATATCAACAAACTAGATGATCATCTCACTCGAACCTTCACTCCCGCCGTGATTGAGAGAATAGTGCAGGGCAGCGGCGGAGGAGGAGGTGGTGACGGAGACGGGGATGGAGGCGATGGAGATAAGAAAGGAAAGGGAAGACAGCGAGAAGAAGGAGCAGGGACCAGCAACAAAATTAAAGTTAAAATTCCAAGGACGTACACCGGCAAAAAGGAAGAAAGCGTGTTGCATTGGATGGCGGTTGTAGAGTCCTATGTCTACGGACAACGGATTCCTTATTGGTATAGGGTGTTGATGGCCACTTCGTGTATGGCCGATGACGCAATGAGTTTTGCAATCTCGTTACAAAAAGAAGCAGGATGTAGTTCAATGGTAGAGTTTTCCCAGCAAACCCGTATTGAAGACTTTCTCAAAGCCGTCAGGGAGAGGTTCGAAGATAAGAATCTTGCCCGAAGAATAGAAATGTTAATCTTGAACCTTCCCGACAGGAAGTGGAAAAGCACGTCGGCACTAAAAGCTACCATGGATGAGTTGTTACAGTGCACCGACCATGGGTTAACCCCGACTCAGATTTTGAACAGTTTTGCTCGCGCCTTACCTGATCCCGTCCGAACTCAGTTATATCCCCGCACTAAAGAGGAGGGGATGACCTATGAAAAATTTAGTAAGATTGCATTAGATCATGCAGGATTTCTGGCTGAAGCCAACTATTGCCACTATTGGAAAGATCTGCAAGCGGGCAAAAGATGGCAAAACCGCACC